CCGCTCGAGGGCCACCCCGCTCCGCAGTGGGGAACGATGCGTGGCTCCCTGCTCCGCGAAACTCCGCGGGAGAAGCTTCCCCTTCGGGTGAATCTGTGGCATTTTTCGGCGTGGCCGTTTGGAGGGGGAACTCCTGCGTGCCTCATTGCACCCTGCACGAGCTATTCTCGGTGCCTACAATAATTAGATAGGTATGCTGGAGCACTCGAGCATCTGTTTGCAGCATCTGTTTATGTTCATAACTTTCCATGCACCAGCTGCTCCCCCCACAAGATATGTTATTCTGGGGAAGGGCTGGAAGTTTGCATGACAGCGCCGTGCTGCAGGGCCAGCGCCGCTCTATCGCTTCTCCGTCTCCTTGCCTCTTGTTTCCTGTACAAGGGAAAGGTCAGAAGTACCAAGGCTTAGAGATCGGGTGCATGTTTTGGAAAGGAGCGTCCACATGTTTTGGCGTGGTGCGAAGTGAACCTGTAGCTTCATTCACAGGTGTTATGGAAATGGGAAGGTTTCTTCTTGATCATTCTCGCGAAAATAGGAAGAAAGAAAAGGCGTTTTAGCTGGGGAGCCTGCGAAGAAACGGCATTGCTTTGACTTAGTTCATGACAGACAAAGGAAAAAATACTGGTGGGAAATAGCTGGTTTACTTAGGGGATCAGCGAATGCTTTGTCATCTTTGTGGGGCCCGGGCTGTGCACGGGCAGCGCACAGGCAGCAGGTACTTGCAGCGAGGACTTTACACCCATGTAGGTCTGCATCTTTGTTCTCTCCCAGCCCGCAGGCACCTTTCCCCGCTCCAGCCTAGCAGCAGCCAGGACTTTTTTCCTGTCTTCTCAGCCTTACCTTTACACTTGTTTGCTTTTCCATCCTCAAAGCCGGTGCACCAAGTACACCCCCTGGTGATGGCTATTTCACTTGTAGTTATTTTGTCATCAGCTAGAAATACCCTGAGCCCTGCTCTTTTGCAGGGTAGCAGATGCAAATGCCACTTGCGCTTTCCTTTCTCCTGTTTCATCCTGCCCATTTTCCTGCAATGCCTGCTCTTTCTTTTTCCTTTATTTTGTTTTCCTTTTTCTTTATTTTTTCACTGCCTGATTGAGAACAAATTCTTCTCCTGAAGGCAGTTTATCACTTTGTAGTTGGGGTGACTTGAGTCCTGGCCACAGCAGAGGAGGAATCAGTAGGGTAATGACTCCTAAGCAATACCAGGATGCAGGGAAATGCTACTGGGAAAGGGGTAAGGCTTCGGCCCCGCGAGCGCTCCTTTGTTCTGTTTACGGCAGGGAAGACGCTTCGCTAAGGTAGTGGTTGTGCTCTCTTGGCTGTGCTCTCTTAGCAACATGTGCCCGGCGTGCGCAGCGGGGCTGCGTGGTGCCAGCCTGGGAATAGCTGCTCGGAGCGCTCATTAACGCTGCTCCTCTTGCTATTTCTTTACCTCTCCCCCGCCTCTTTTTGCGCTTTACAGGTTCTGCTCAGTATTAAACTCTTCCACACAAATTCCCTCCATGCGCTTCATCACTACGTCTTTCCTTACAGGAGAGCTTGGGGGGGGACACTTGGTAAGGGGGAAGTGGCTTTTCAGGCCCCATTTTTTGCATTTGATGCAATGCTGGTCCACAATTGCAGCAGATGCAGCACAGTGCTCCTTTCCCCTGCTCTTCTGAGCATCTCCTCCACTGGAGTGAGCCTCTGGCTTTCCCATCCCATCCTTCGCCTATGACCAGGCTATGTCAGTCCAAGGGCTGGTAGTGATGAGCTGCCTTGCTCTGTATTCTGTTCCAGAAGATAAGCTGGTCTGAATTTTATAAAACACCTAGTGATGACTGAACTTGCACCTGTGAGTGTGGATCTGGCTGCAGCATTTCTGAGCCCAAATGATACAAAGATTCAAGTTGCTTTGTGAGTTCTGGGGTGTCTTTTGTCTGCCATGAGTGGCAGGACTGGTCCCACATTAGCTTGACAAATCCAGTGACACCAACACACTGATACTGGGAAATGGAGAGGGGAGAAACAAACTGGTTTTGCTTTTAAGCAGCAGGTGGATTAGCAAAATAAAAAGATTTTAATGGTAGAAGCCTCTAGTTTGATTCTTTGTGGGGTTTTGAGTCACCTCTCCTGAAAGTAGTTGCAGACATTGGGTAGACCCAGTGCTGGGTAGGTGACACAGCAGGGATCTTAAAATTCCATCTCAGACACGAATGGGAGCAAACTCAGCCCTGCCGTTCCTGGTCGCCTTCCCTTCCCTGCTGCAATTTGGGTGATAAAAGGAAGAATCCAAGTGTCCTGTGTCCATGTGTGGCGTGTGCCGGGGCTCTGCCGTGCAAACTACAAGAGCGATAAAGTTGGTCACACAAGCCCTGAGGCACACCACAGTGGACAGGGATTGCCGCTATGAGCCAGGAATGTCGTAGGAAAACCTACCGCAGCAGGTAGAAGGTGCTGAGCCATCCAGGATGGGAACCCGGTGGTGCCAGGCACCAATTCGGTTTCCAAACTTGTGACTGCAGAGAGCTGTAGGTGGGAAGCTGGTGTTGTGATTTTGGTGACTTGTGGAATTCAAACAAATGTCTGCAGGTCAAGAGGTTTTTTTTTTTGGGGGGGGGGGGGGGGAGCTGCATATTCTGACACTTGAGACTTTACAGCTTGTGTTTCTCTCTGCTGCAAGTTTTCCTGTAAAATCCAAGAGAGGTTGCAGGGGAAAAAAAAATCTCTAAGCAGCCTGTTTCCTGGGTAGTATATTTCCATCCACTTGGAACAAAACAGACTTGGAACATGCACGCAGAGCAGGGATCCGACTATAGGATGTGGTTTGTGAAAGTGATCAATCTACAAAGCACTGCAGTGATTTTTTTCAGGGAGCTTTAGTGTGGAGAACGCATTAGTAATTTCACTTTTCTTCTCTGTTCAGGTTCTTAAAAGTATTTTTGAGATTTCCAAACATTTATTTTATTTTGAGATTGATATTCTATCAGGATTGAGAAACTCCATGATTAAAAATGAGGGGACAGTGAGTTACACACAGTGTGGCCAAGTTAGCCAGATAATCTCAGGGGTAACTATGCCATCCAGTAAGTCTACATTGATAAGTGGTTCTCATATGGGGCATTACTGAAGCTGCCAAAATGTATTTTTTACATTGCTGAGGTCAGAGATGACTAATCTCAGCAAATATGTGTTGGGACTTATTCTTGCACAACAAATAGAAGTAAGAAAAAAGGAGACAGTGAAAGTAAACCAGAAAGAGATCCTATGGCAGCAAACATTTTGTGTGCAACCACAAACATGACGTTGTTTATTTGCCACCTGCTCTTTCCTTAACAAGTGTTTGCTGACCTAAGTCTTTAAAATGTGCTTGAAGGATATGGGAAGACGGAGAAACTGTTTGAAATCTCTCAAGTTTTTGGAAGACTCTGAGGGTTTTAGATTCCACTTTTGGGGAGGGAGGTAACAGCCCCTGTGAGATGCGAGTTGGAGAGAAGACCTACAAAACATTGCAACTGCCTTGCTTGCAGAGGTCTTGCCCCTCGGCGAGTACAGTTGTACTGTTTTTTGGGCAAATTCGGACGAGTTTTGATAATATCGATTTATGAAAAGCATCATGATTTAATCCTCGACTAATGTAAATGGTCCTTAAATCTCCTCTTCTGTAGCAAGTGCATGGCAGGCATTCCTTATTACTTGGTTTTAGTTTTATTTCCTCCATGGACTGTATGGGTAGATGGAGTAGTTGCATTAATACATCTTGCCCCCTCTGCAGTACTTCAATTACATTTCCTGATACACAGTGCATGACTTAATGGATGACGCACTTATTAAAAGCTAAACCTGGGTCTAAGCCAGACCTCCCTGAAACAAGTTTGGTGTCTGCTCCCCTCAGGAAGAACGTCTTGCAGCCTCTCTGCTGAGCCTTAGCTGCTGACCCTCAAGACCCCTGGGATATTTGGGGATGGGACTTCCTTCATCTCTGGTAGGGAGGTTGTTGCTACTGCCTATGAAAAGTTACAGAGAGGCTGGACTGCTCAAGGGTGGTGTTTTGCCAGTCATGGTAGCAAGAGCAGATGAGAACTTTAATTAGGTTTAGTTTGGCTCATGCAACTTGAGCCTAAAGTGAGCATTAAAGCTCTCCAGACCCTGATGACTTGATGGAGTTAATGCAGCCTTTATATCTGCCATTTCATAGACTTGCAGGAGGGTTGAGGTTGGAAGGGACCTTTGGAGATCATTTATTCCAACCTCCCTGCATAAGGAGGGTCACCTAAAGCACCTTGCACAGGATCACATCCCTATGATTTGCAAAGAATGCATTTTTATTTAACTCTCACTTAGTAAAAAGACGATTCTATGCAATGTCATTTCATGGAAATCAATGGTGTTTTCCAGGTTTATTGCTTTTTTTCAATACATGGTTTCTTCCCTTCTGCATGTTCCCTTGTTTTTCTTAGGTGACAAAGACCATGAGACAGGCACCGTGCAGCACTAAAAAGTGCTTCAGTGTTCTTATTTAAACAAACCTATGTTAAAGCTATTTTTTGTTTCAAAATAAACAGAAAGCACAGATTCTTTGCATGCCCCATTTTGAGTGAATATTGCTTACAGACCTGTGGGACATGATCACTTCAGTGCTTTTGCCAGAAGGAGTGATAACTTCTTTACATTATTGATGTCAGTTCTGTCAATACATAATTGCACGCAGAGAAATGCTGCATTCCAGAGAATGCTGTCATTGAGAATGAGGAACCTTCCTGCAAATCCACAGGAGTCATTTGATTTAATTCATTCAGATTTGATTCATTATCCTTTTCCTCCAAGATCTAATCCGACATTTCTCTTTCTCTTGCAGACCATGCCCTCTCTATGACGATTACTTGTTAAGCTAACTCTGCATGCCAGAAGACTGTCCTTGGTTGATCCAAGGGCTTTTGGGGAATCCAGCCTCTCCCCAATTTTTCTGTGTGTGTGTGTTCCTCTAGAACTTTCAAAACTGTTTCTCCAAAGGGTTTTGCAGAAACTTAGACTGTTTTCTAAAGCAGAAGCACCTCAGTCCACAGCAGTAGTGATGGGCAGCGTGCGAACCAACCGCTACAGCATCGTGTCTTCGGAAGAGGACGGCATGAAGCTGGCAACCATGGCCATTGCCAACGGCTTTGGGAATGGAAAGAGCAAGGTACATACCAGACAGCAATGCAGGAGCCGCTTTGTCAAAAAAGACGGCCACTGCAATGTCCAGTTTATTAACGTGGGTGAGAAGGGACAGCGATACTTGGCAGACATCTTCACCACTTGTGTGGACATCCGCTGGAGGTGGATGCTAGTTATCTTCTGCCTGACTTTCATCCTCTCCTGGCTTTTTTTTGGCTGTGTGTTTTGGTTGATTGCGCTATTACATGGCGATCTGGAAAACCAAGAAAATAACAAACCCTGTGTCTCTCAAGTGAGCAGCTTCACTGCAGCCTTCCTCTTCTCCATTGAGACCCAGACCACGATTGGCTATGGCTTCAGGTGCGTCACAGATGAGTGCCCCATTGCAGTTTTCATGGTGGTTTTCCAGTCTATAGTAGGCTGCATCATTGATGCCTTCATCATTGGTGCTGTCATGGCAAAGATGGCTAAGCCAAAAAAGAGAAATGAAACTCTAGTCTTCAGCCACAATGCTGTAGTGGCCATGAGAGATGGGAAACTGTGCCTGATGTGGCGTGTTGGGAACCTGAGGAAAAGCCACTTGGTGGAGGCACATGTGCGAGCACAACTCCTCAAATCCAGGATCACGTCGGAAGGGGAGTACATCCCTTTGGATCAAATAGACATCAACGTAGGGTTTGACAGTGGGATAGACCGCATATTCTTGGTCTCCCCAATTACAATAGTACATGAAATAGATGAAGACAGTCCTTTGTATGACTTGAGCAAACAAGACATGGACAATGCTGACTTTGAAATTGTAGTAATATTAGAGGGCATGGTGGAAGCTACTGCAATGACTACCCAGTGCCGTAGCTCATATCTGGCAAATGAGATCCTCTGGGGCCACCGCTATGAGCCCGTGCTCTTTGAAGAGAAAAACTACTACAAAGTGGACTACTCGAGGTTCCACAAAACTTACGAAGTGCCCAACACACCCATCTGCAGTGCCAGAGACTTAGCGGAAAAGAAATACATTCTCTCTAACGCAAACTCCTTTTGCTATGAGAACGAAGTAGCCCTCACGAGCAAAGAGGAGGACGAGATTGACAATGGGGTGCCTGAGAGCATGAGCACAGACACCCACCCGGACATGGACCATCACAACCAAGCAGGGGTGCCTCTAGAACCGCGGCCGCTACGGCGAGAGTCCGAGATATGACTGAAACTCTTCCTCTCTCTTTCGGTTGGAAGGAAAAAAAATAAAAAATAAACCCCTCGGTCAGGCACATTGACCTAAGAAGTTGGCCCAGAACAGTTTTCAGACAACGGTACTGTTGAAGAGTGGCGTAAGGCAAGCAGACCTGAGAAACCGGGCTGGTTTTAGGGCTGTCCTCAGAGGAGGGACAACAGAAAATGAACTCTAAACACAAAGCACTAAACATGTCTAAGTATGAACAGAAGGCACATATGTTGTAGAATAAATTATGTATATATTTTTTTACAAAACTTGAACTTGCAGGCAAGCTTTGGTTGGGTTATTATTATTTTTTTTCAACTTTTTCCAGAATGCTTCTCTCTAGGGAACAAGAATGTTTTTAATGGCATAACAAAGGCAAGAATCTGCCTTATTATTATTATTATTATTTTTTAAAAGCTGCTGCTAACTACATGAACACAAATGGTTATTTTTGTTGCAGTGTAGTTTTTATTTTCTCTTGTGTAATTTAAAAAAAAAAGAAAAAAAAAAGTCAGTGTTGAACTTTTTGGGTTGAAAAGCTTGTGATCACTTCAGAGAGGCCAATGTTGCCAGAAAGTCTAAACTCCTTTTGAGGCCAGTAATTTGATAGCTAGAATCAATTTCTCTCTTTCCAATTACATAAAGGGCATTATGTAATATCAGGCCAATCAGTAGCCTCCAGCAAAACTATGATTTTTGGGGGGAGAATTTAATTCTCTGTCTAAAGGAAAGTGAAATTAAATATATAGAGAAACATAAAAAGTACTAAGTGAAAACTACCTAAATGGATACCAAAGAAAATGCACAGTTTTGCACAGTGGAATTTATTTTTTAAATAAGGAAATAAAAAAAAAAAAAGGAACAGGCTGCTTTAAACAAACAAACAAAAAACGTTTTCAAACCTCAGATGCTTTCTTTGGTTTAGTTTTTTCTTTTCAGACCTTTTATTTTTGCACCTTATTCTGAAAGCTTAAGACTGGGATCTAAAGTGAGCTAGGAACTCCCTAGGGCCCCTCTTCTCTTTTGCTGGGGAAACACATTCTCCTCCTTTCTTGTAAGGAGAAGTGTAGTTGGGGAAGCCAAACAAGCAAACATCTGTCCTGCCCGTGCCAGGCAGTAGCTGAAGGTCAAGTGGCCCCATGCACATTCCCAAGCCGCTGCTAGACCTTCACGCTGACCCAGTGTCCTGAGCTGTGCAACCGTGTCCCGTGCCCTGTCCTTCTCTTAGTGGTTGAGCTATGTGCAAAGCTGCTGGTCTTTGCTCAGGGCTGAGTGCTGGAGCAAGGTCTCAGTCCATGGTAAGAGGGTTTGGAAGAGGAAGGAAGAGACGGATGGAGAGGAAAGGGAGAAAAGAATTGCTCTTGGCACTTGGGGGTGGCACAGAGAGCATAGCATTTTGTCAACACGCTTCTCTTCAGTAGGGCAAGGGTGTCAGAAAAGGGGCTGGTGTGTTTGCTCGCTCACTTGGAGAGGGCTTATTGGAGGAGATCAATGCTGCAAAGCAAGCTTCATCTCCTGCCTCCTCCTCCTCCTCCTGCGAGCATTGCCTCGGGGGGCAGTGGACGGGGTATGTTACTGAGCCTCTGAGCAGATCCTGTGACCTTATGTGAAGCTCTGGCTCTAACGGTATTTTGGCTCCTTTGCCAAGAATGCTTTAAAAATCCTCTGTGCCTCTGAGGTCAAGGATACAACTAAACTGCGCTTGATACTTGCTCACTTGTGTATCTTCCTCAAGGAGCAGGTAGGTGGTGGTGGGGACAATAATCCTAGTCAACTCTTACAGTATTGGATCACTGTATGCCATTAAAAAACAGCTTGTTCTAGGTCTAACAACATCTGTGAAGGCCTCTGGCCCCTTCCAGCCCTGCCTGAAAGAAATGCCTGCAACAAAGTGGTTTCTGCTAAGATGGTATCTAAAGAGAGCGGGTTCGAAACGGTGGAAATTCAACATTGCAACCATAGATTTGGCTCCTAGAGAGGGCAGATGATTAAGTGCAAGTACTAAGGCTATTACCGAGGTGGGGGGAAGTAAAAGAAGGGAAAGGCTGAACACAAAATGCGACTTGATTGCAGTTTCTGGGTCAACAGTAGTGAAGACAACTGAGTGCTGCTAGTGCTGCTATTGGCATATTCTTGTAAAAGGAAAATACCTAAACCAAAGAGTATTCAGTGAGAAGAGGGTGCCTGGGAACGCAATGGGGAAGGGATGGAGATGGGAGGCTGACCAGGAGAAAGGGGACCTTTTCTCCAAGTCAATGTCACTGGGTGCCCAGCGCGCCCACCACATGATACTTGAGACGTGTGAGGGAGACATATGAGATGGGGGAAGGGGGAATATAGGACTTCAGTTTGTTTCTTTAAAGAAAAAGAAATTTGGAGAAAAAAATAAAAATAAGACCCCTTCCCGTTAACATTTCTGGTGCAGAGGTTTTGCTTTTTTTTTTTTGTTTTAGTTTTTGGGTTTTTTTTGTTTAGTTTTCCAAGTCAGTTTTTCAGAAATATTTTTAAAATGTACATTTTATAAAGTTTATCAAGTATTTTCATATTTAAAGCCAAATGTAAATAGAAGTCTGTAAAGGAGGACAAGGAGAAGAAGAAAAAGGCCACAAAAAGTATAAATTCCGCTCGGCAGTCTTGGCTAGCTAGTACCTAGATGCTACCGGTTAGCATGACTTTTTAGCAAATACTTGCAAGCCTTATAGGATTCCTAATGCTATGAACTTCTCTTTATTTATTTTTAAGCATGGACTTTTAATTTGAAAACATGTTCTAGTTACTGGCTTTTTTAAAAGTTACCAGCTTTCCGAGTGCTAGTCTTGTCTGGAGCGTGCATTGAGGTAAACTTGTTACCCTCGCTGCCGCTTTCTTTACTTTTTTTCTTTTTTTTTAAATAACCCTTTGTCTTTGCCGACTGACTCTTACATTGCAGAATTGCACTCAGCCTCTGGCTTTTGGAAGCTGCTAGAAGAGACCTGCAATGTACACTTCATGGTACCCTTCCCCCTTGTCCATCACTTCTACATTTCTGAACATGCCTTGGTAAACCCAGGATAGAACAGGCTATCATAGCACACTTGTGCAGCAGCAAATTGGTTTAGCCATTTTTCTAAAAAAATACTATTTTTAAGGAATATGCAGTGACTGACAGTGTTTGTTCAGTTCCTGATGATCCCGGGCCAAGCTGATGTGTTATGAAGGGGCCCTGTAAAACCAATGGAGCTTCTACCCACAGGCTCCAATGGGCTCTGGTTTGGCCTCTTTATCAAGGCTCATCTGGCTCACACAGAAGGTTTATACTGTATTTTGCTAAGGGTTTGGGAGGAATATGTTATTTCTGCCCTTCCCTGAAAATACTTGAATGAGACACTTACTGTCTAAACCATAATATTGCATACAGTGACAAGATGCATTTCGGAGGCAGGTTGGGAGCTTTTCTTTCCTCTGCCTCTTCTGTGCGAGTCGTCTTTAGTTAAGTAGCAAGGGTAGAAATCATTACTTATTAGCTGTATTTAATTATACTTTCTCCCGGTCATTGTAAACTCCTGTGTTGTCAGTTTAGCACTTGCTCTTCTCGGAAAAGACAAAGGGTCCAGATGTTTTATTTGTTCTCTTAGGTCTTCTTTTTCATAATGGATTACAAGGTAAAACTGAGAAGTACTGTAATGTCTTTAAATTATGGCTGCTCATGACCATTGTAAAGTAGAAGGGTGCTGCATAGTTGCCATCCCACAGCCAATGAGAAACTTATTTTATAATGACTTTTGGCCTGCAGCTATTGTAAGGTGAACAACCTAGGCATCTGACAGTTGTCCATTACTATTTTCCTGTTTGCAGCCTTTTTGTATCAAAGTCTTCCTAATGTACTGCACAAATTGTGGATTGTACAGATTTTTATATATTATGTCTTATTTTATTATTTCTAAATAAATAAAAGAAAATGGAGAATGAACTGGTGTGTGCATCCTGTATGTAAATGTCCCAGGGTGATGGGTTAGGATGTTATTTACTTGTATTTAAGACTGTCTCTAAGCACAGTCATTGTCAGAGGCACTTGAATAAGAGACAGGTCATTCCCTCCCTTGATAATGACGGGAAAAAAGGTTGTACTATCCCTACCTGCAGGCTGGGGACACGATGCTTGCTGGAGTCTGCAGTGTTTGGCACCTTGCTCTAAAGGGAGATCTGCCCCAGAAAGACTAACTATTTTTCCTAATGTCATACCTGAAGCTGCGGAGCTCCAGGTCATTAGCCACATGATGTCTGAACATGGAAAAGAGCTTAAAGTCTACAAATACGCTACAGCAGAGGGTGGGGAAATGAAAACACAGAGCTTAAGCAAGCTCACTGAAAGATTTGGAAGAGATTAAAAAATTGAGGAGGAAACTCAGCTTCAAATCCCCATGTTTCATGTCTCCCTAGAACATCCCTTTATTGAAATGATGCTCCCCATCTTAGCTAAATTCCAAGCATATTTGCTGTAATCTTCACACAGGCCCTATTTATTTGGTCTCCTGCATCTGGTGTCACAAATATGGAGCTGGGTTTTTGTGTAATGGCGTGGGGAGTTGTAACCACAGCGGGCCTTGAGAAGCTGAGAAGAGACTATGCCCATATTAGTCTGGGCTGGAAAGCTTCCTTCCCCAGTGCTTGTGTGTGGCCTCCAGGAAAGATGTCAAGGACGCACAACTGTGACTCAGCTCAGAGGGTTCTGCTGATCTAATCGGAATCGCACGCGCTGCAACATCCAAGGACGATCACGAAACATTTAAACTGAGTTTTGACCCCTGTGCTGAATTTTCCAACTTTTATCAGTCCTTAATGCTATTTAAGCACATCTCTGAAACGATGCCTCAGATGGAGCTCTGACCCTATCTAGAAGGACTCCTTTTATAAATTCAAATTCACTTTTCAAAAAATCTAATCGCCTTTTGGAAAGCTTATAATACAATAATTACAGGGCTGGATTTAGAGATGCGGATTAGCTGTCACAGCCTGCATCTGCTTATTCTCCCCATTGAAAAGTGCTCCTGTGTGAGAGCCACTTGCCGAGCTGACCGCTTCCTTTGGAGCCCTGTGGGGGCAAAGGGTGATGGTCACCGTCCGCATGGGCTGCTGAGCCCAGGGAGACTTATTGAGCCTGTCTATATCACGAGCACCCTCTCCTGTTAGTGCTCTCCCTTCTCTTGCTGGCTATTCCTTCCTTCAAGTGTAGGTGAAGCCAGCCTAAATATAGCCACGAAAAAACAACAGTTTACTGTGGTAGCTAGCAAGGTAATAGCTAAGCTCTTCTTCCTCCCATACTAGCTAGGTGCATCTAGCAGCCACCAGGGATACGCTGCATGGATCTAGGCATCATCGGTAAAATGAGAGAGGAGGCATAATGGTGCGGGTGGTGGCATGCTAGCAGCCAAGGACGCAGTTGGTGCTGCCTCCAATTTTCTGTGCGGATGTTTCCACAGTAGACAGCCTAGAAATGTGAATTAGAGAAAGGTGTGTGTGCAGATTCCCCATTTTCCCATCAAACTAATAGTGCTTGCTGGTGCTTTCGCCAACCCAAGCTTGTGCGGAAGACTGCAGCTTGCATATCTATAAAAGGTGTGCAAAAACACATAAGAATGTTTAAAGAGATGTCCATCCTTTCAAAATGTTTAAACTAAGCTCATGACTTCAGGGGGAGCCTGATTCATGGCCTGGGATTCTTGGCACGTGGAGATTAGCGTACAGTGAAGATTTTGGATAGGACGTGCATGCTGGGATTCAACAGCCACCTTGTCTGGAAAAGCTCATTTGTCCCAGGGCAACTGGCTTGTCAGCTCTTGGTCATCATGCTCAGTGAGGTGTTTTGCACAGGCTCACTCCTCC